GAAGTCTCTTTAGCCTGGGGCCATCACTTCCCCCAGTTCAGTCTTTGTTCCTCAGATGTTTCCAAGTGTGTTGTTGTAGGGAGAGTGAGGTACCGTCATGATGTCATTTCCCCCTTTTATATCTTCTTCCCACTTCCTGGAAAGCTCTTTTGCTGTGATCTGGGTCAAACAGTTCCCATTGTGTAGTGCTATCTCTGAGAGGTTTCTGTTGTATACAATACCTGGGGAAATCCTTGTGCTTGTGTCCATTTCCTCAATAAGCCATTAACATTGTTTGGACTTTTTACTGTTGTACCTGAAAGGCTGCTTGTGGGTGTTTTCAACCTCACAACATGTTTCAGTAACACATACATAGCCAAACTGCATAACTTCACATATGATAGCACATACAATCCAACAAGATATTAATGTCTAGCAGATCAAGACTTTTAGAATGATACCTCACAAGGCATACTTTGTGCAAAACATATCCTAATTATGCAGTGGTGAATAAGGGAATGCCAGGGTGTCACAACTTTCTTAGAAACTAGGGTAAATATAAAGGGCCAGTAACAAGTGCCCTGGTCTGTTGGATGTGAACCACATCGTTTTACCCTTTTTTTATTGAAACTTTACAAGGGAACTCGTACCATTTTCATGCAGCAAAGAAGTTTTACACCTCGCTGGGAAATAATAAGCTATTTAACTGTATGTGCTTAACATTCCTTGATACTGTGTTTCATCACTGGACCATTAACTGTCTACTCCAGGGCTATTATTTTCATACCGAAAACCCTTTCAGAGACTGGCCTGGTGCATTTGAGGAAGGACTGAAAAAACTGAAAGAAGGAGACCTGCCCCTCACTATCTTATACATGGAGGCTGCCATTCTACAAGACCCCAGTGATGCAGAGGTATTCACTCCCCTGCCTTTATCTAGGGAGGGGAAGCAGCTACAAGTGTCTCACTTCACCTAGCATAGCAAGGATGGGGAGGATTCAAGGTCAAAACTTTTGGCAGTGGTTTTTATGTGAAATAAAATGGAAGGTAACAATTTGTAAGGAGCATCATATACTTTGAAATGAATTAAGCAGAGCTGATCAAACAATGAAAACTTATTTTTGCAGTTTCAAAACTTTAAAGCTGTTATTTGAAGATGTTAATCAGTTTATTAAAAATTATTTGACATGACCATCAAAAATTTTCAGTTACCAAAAACTCTGGCAAATAAAACAATGTTTATAACCATTTTTAATCAAATATATATTCAGTCAATATATATATATTTTAAAGTATTTCTTTTGTTTTGTTTCTATTTTGGGGGGGGAGGGAACATTTCAACAGTTTTTCACAAAAAATTCCATTGTAGAAAAAGACCATTTTTTTCAATTCAAAAAAATTTCCACCCCACTCTAGAATTAAGGTATTCTTCAAATCTGTATTGCAGGTTCCTAGCAAACATTACAGCATTTTTATTTGTAAACAGTAATCTCAGAAATACATAGGAATAGTGGCTAATGAGTAAGGAAATGGAAGATTCTGAGATATGCCGGAGAAAGTTAATTGTAGTTGATACTAGCATACAGCAAAAGCTAGGACTGTGATATATTTCAAGGCTACATGGCTGAAAGTGCTCCATCTGCTGTGTGTTTCAGGTATCTAATGTTAAAAGGCAGTGTGAATTATTTGAATTTTAGAGCTGAAATTGATGTGTGGGATGTGGGAGCAACAAAAAATAGCCTAGGAGTGGTAGAAAGGAGGAGCCAAAGACCGAGTCCTATAGGGCAGCAAGAGAAAGGATTTCACAATGTACCTGACTGACATGATGCAATTTACATGAAACTGTCTTAGGAGCAACATGAAGCAGAAATAAGCCATTTACCTCGGGTACTGATGTTTCCTATACTGCAGTATTTGTCATACTTAGAAATCATAAAGATAATGGAATGTCAAGAATTTAATAGGCCCACTGAATGTTTATTATTTGCATTAAAGGCTGTATTACAAGCACAATTTCAGCCTGTATATTTGTCACAGGGTGGTCTACTCACTGCTGTGTGATGTATCCTTCTGGTGCTTAGCTCCGCCCAGTTCAGTGCCCCCTTCCTTCTCACAGTACGGCTGCCTCATGACTCAGCCCTCCAGCCAAATCACTTTCTATTTTCCCCTTCCGGGCACGTTTTTTCAGAGTCCTGCACTGGCATCCACACGCCCACTGCACTGACTACATCACTCCCACAGCATCTCAGGCAGTCTTCCTCTTCACTGCCACTAGCAATCCCATTCTGCAGTGGATGCTAAGGGAACCCAGACCCATCCTCTACACTGGGCTCCAGTCCAGGGCCCTATAGCGAGCAGTTAAGGTCTGCAGCTACACTAACCTTACTGCTTCAACCCTTCACTATTTCTACTGTGCTTCTCCAAGCTTTTCATTCTTCAGCCTTCCTAGTCAGACTTGCCTCTCTCAGGCCTACTAAGGTTCTTCCTGGGTTCCTATGCCCCATCTTTCTCCCTTACCTCAGGGGGAGAGATTGCAGATTTCCTCCCTGCACCCTCCCATGCTGCTGACAGCCTCCTGGCTTTATAGAAGCCCCACCTGTTCCCTCAGAGGTGAGCTTCCTTCTAATTAGCTCCTACCCCACAGCCTAAATCTTATGCATTTGCAGCTTAATTGGCTGATTGGGACCACCTCACTTAATTCAGCTCTTCCAGGGCAGGCATGGGGAGTACACCTCATCCCAGTACTTAAAAGCTATGACTTTTTTGGGAGAAGGGTATTCCTTTCATGGTGCAAGGGTGTATGGGGCAAAATATTAGGGGACCAGATACTCAGCTGGCATAACTTGCTATAGCTTCCCTGAAACCAGTGGAAAAGAAAGAGAAAGAGTGGGATTCAACATAGTACTCTAAAGTCTGTCTTCAGATATGCACGGGCCACTGCACCTAAAATCAACAGGAGTGGTTGTGTATGTGCATCTGAGTCCCACTGTGTCTACTGCTGTATGTACCTGATGCAACAAAATGATGCTGTAGAATCCCCCTCACGCTGTAGGGGTGAGATTATTTTCTTCCGCATTTTCAGATAAAAGCTTGAAACATCAGAATCCATTTAGAATGTGTAATAACTCACCTGTGAGAAAACAGTATGGGATCTGACAGTGTAGAATCACCATGGACTTAAATGGGAACTTCCCATGGATAAACGTGGCCTAAAGATATCCAAAATCACTTTGCTTTGTACTGTTGGTGTATTGGCAATAGAAGTACTGTAGTCAGGCCAGTGTTGGATACATGCTGCTGTCTATATGTATCCATTTATTTAAGTAAGCATAGGGATATTGTTCTGTGATTCCAATTGCACTTGGGGACATATCATAAAATAACAGTTATTATTTTGCAGGCCTGGCAGTTTCTTGGTATAACACAGGCAGAGAATGAAAATGAGCAGGGAGCTATTGTCGCCCTCCAAAGGTAGATGAAGATATTTGCAAAATAATGGATCCCATCAATATTAGTTAATGGATGCCTGTGTGTATTTCATCTCACACTTGTGTTCTGACCTTTTACATTTAATTGGGGGGGAGGGGAATGACTGGCATACAGAAGTGATATGCTACCTCTAGTCTCCATAGTAACTCCGGAGGCATGATTTTGCATTCCTATGGAGTTAATGGCAATATTAAATCTCATATTTAATTAAATAAATGGAAACACAAAAGAAAACCTACATGTCACAACAAACCTGAATTAGGCACAACGCAACTAAAATGTCTTTTCAATATTCTAGACACTTGATATATTTTCTAAAGGTTTCTGTCTTAATGAAAATGTTTCCTTAATTGGATGGAGATCCTCAGCCACTGAATACTAATTGATGGAGAACTTTGCTAGGTTGATGGGAATATAATGATCACACTATACCTGTTAAGTAAATGCCTATTCCTAAATATCAGAGTTATTATTCTGCCTTTATCTGTAGCGAGTGTTGCTGCACTATATTCTGTTTCCACTTGTAGCCAAGTATACACTCCAAACTTAATTGCATTAGCTATGTTAACCTTCAAGCCAATTTACCTAAGGATACTTCAATTACTGTAACTCATTCATATGTAATGTCATCTTTTCCTTATCTGCACAGAAATCCAAAGGGTTCCCTGACAAGTTTGTTTGTCCCTGATAGGTTGAAACATTCAGCAATGCCACTCACAGATACAGCAGACCAGATTCCCCTGTGCATTATCCTGGTGTAAAGCTGGAGAAAGTCTATGGAAGTCCGTGGGCTGACTCTGGCTTTACAAAGGTGTAGCTGAGAGCAGAATCTGGCCCAACAATTCTATTGAAAAGGATGGGCTTTGGTTTCAATCTTCAAAATATCTTTTTACATAGCCAAATGCCTTCTACAACTGCCCACTTCTAGATAACTCAAAAGTCTTCTATTTGTTTACTAGGCAGGTGCTATTAAAAAAAGGCTTCCTCCCACATTTGCTATGCCATGCTGATAACAGAAAGTGTGGGGAGTATTAGCTTTTTATTTATATAACACCATAGTCGCAGATGGCACATAACACACAAAAACAAGGCAAGTTCCCTGCTCCAAGATCCTGCTATCCTTATTAATGTGAGTGGCTCTTTACACACACCAGCAGTCCTCTGGAAGCCAGTAGCACTACTTTTGTGAGTAAGAGTTGCAGGATCAGGCCCTATGTTGGAAGCATTGATGCACTGCATTTTGCTAAAAGAAACTAAGATATTTTTCTTCTCTGTTTAGGTGCTTGCAGCTACAGCCAAACAACTTAAAAGCTCTGATGGCCTTGGCTGTGAGCTACACTAATACTGGCCATCAACAGGAAGCCTGTGAAGCTTTAAGAAACTGGATAAAGCAAAACCCAAAATACAAGTATATCATGAAGAGCAAAAGAGGGTCTCCAGCACTTACCAGGAGAAAGTCTGAGCCATCAAAAGAAAGGTAAACCTGGATTAGCATCCTGAAGAAATTAGGCCCAGATTCCCTAAGGTATTTTGGCTTCTAACTTCCATTGATTTCAATGGAGTTTCTCAAATGTACAGTGCGCTGCTCAGATTTTTTAAGTTACATAGGAACATAAGAATTTTGATCCCTGATAAGACCCAACAAAATGATGCTGTAGAATCCCCCTCACACTGTAGGGGTGAGATTATTTTCTTCTGCATTTTCAGATAAAAGCTTGAAACATCAGCAGCCATTTAGAATGTGCAATAACTCACCTGTGAGAAAACAGTATGGGATCTGACAGTCCATTATCCTGTCTCTGAGGAAAGTGTCAGAGTCCTCCAGTAAGCATACGTGGGATACTCTTCCCCTTATTGGGTCTCATTCTGGTGTCTAATAGTTGGAGATTAGTTTAAGCCCTGAAGCATGAGATTTACTATCCCTTCAAAAAAATGTATAATTAATTATAACTCTGGGTGTTCTTGATATCCACATAAATGACCAATTCCTCTTGGGGAATCTTGCTAAATTCTTGGCCACAATGACTCCCCGGTGATTTCCTAACAGGGGCGGCTCCAGGCCCCAGTGCACCAAGCACGTGCCTGGGGCGGCAAGTCGCAGGGAGCGGCCTGCCGGTCGCTGTGGGGGCGGCAGTCAGGGAGCCTTCGGCGGCGGGCCTGCGGGAGGTCCGCTGGTCCCGCGGCTTCGGTGGCAATTCGGCGGCGGGTACGCTGAAGCCGTGGGACCGGCGGACCTCCTGCAGGCATGCCGCCAAATCCATGTTACCAGCCGGACCTCCCGCAGGCGTGCCGCTGAAAGCCGCCTGACTGCTGTGCTTGGGGCGGCAAAATACATAGAGCCATCCCTGCTTCCTAAACAATCCCAAGCTTTTAAATCTCTCTTCATATGAGAGTTTTTCCAGACCCTTGATCATAGCCCTTCTCTGAACCCCTCTAATCTTGCAGTATCTTTTTTTGAGACGGGGTGACCAGTACCGCACACAGTATTCCAGATTAGGCTGTACCACTGGTTTATAGACATTATGATATTCTCCACATTACTGTCCAGAAAGAGTAAGAAAAACAATTCCAATTAAAGTGATTAAATCATTGGATCAGGAAAATCTTTTTTAAATATGGTGTAGTATCCGTGTGAACACACACAAGCACATAGTCCATTATTGGCCTCTCAGAGTTGGTAAGACAACTCCCACCTGTTTATGCTCTCTGTATGTGTGTATATCTATATCTCCTCAATATATGTTCCATTCTATATGCATCCGAAGAAGTGGGCTGTAGTCCACGAAAGCTTATGCTCTAATAAATTTGTTAGTCTCTAAGGTGCCACAAGTACTCCTGTTCTTCTTTTTTGAGAACATTTAAAAAGTTGTTCTGCAGTAGACCCTTTACCACCAGTTCCTATTGTTATTTTGCTAGTTGGTCTAAACGTTAGATTTCCACTTACATTAGTGGTGAAAGGTATCTATTTCTGAACTTTTTAAAAACCTTCAGCAACTTCTTCATAGACCCAAAATGCTGGGAGGATTCCATTTAGTGCCATTTAGAAATGGGGCGTTATATTTATTATTGTTATCTTGTGCTAGCAAGATCATTTTGACTAAGCAACAATAAAATAGGGAACTTCTACTGAATGATGAAGTGCGTTATATTGGGCTTAATCCAAAGTCTGTGAATATAGGAATCTAAATTTTGGCATCTGTCTTTGAAATCTTGGCTGTAGATTTCAAAATCTTTATCTAAGACTCTTGAGGATTGATTACCATTTTTGCCAACCTGGTTTCCTTGCTTTAACCTTGAGAGCAGCCCGTAATCCATTTTTTAGGGTGCCAGAGAGAATTGATCCAGCTTCAACAGCTCTTATAGCCCATATTTTAGATATGCCTAAGTTTTCAGCAGCACTTTGGCTTAGTGCTGGTAAACCTTTGAACTCTAATGGCCAGTTCTCAACCAGAGTCGGAATAAGTCATTACAACAATCGAGCTGAAACTGTCTATTTGCACATGTTTTAGAGGAGTATAAAGACTTGAACTTGCAGGCTGTGCAGTAGATGGTGCAGCATTTACAGTAGACGGTGCAGCTTGGTGTTATTTTTCACCCTTTTCTAGTTCATTACTCGAAGAAGTAAAGGAAGTGTACCTGGAGGCAGCTCACCAGAATGGTGAGATGATAGACCCTGACTTGCAAACAGGACTTGGAGTGCTTTTCCATCTGAACAGAGAATTTAACAGAGCAATAGACGCATTTAATGCTGCCTTAACTGTTCGGCCAGAGGTACCTATTAAACTTTTTTTGTAATGCAAAATCATCATTTTACAAGCCACTCTCTTCCTTTCCCACTTGAAGCTGACCAGTATTAATGAGATGTCTCTTCAGCCATTAAAATTTTAATACCTGAAATAGAAATGTTAATTGCAAGAGAGCCCTAATGAGAAACAGATTTATGCATGTCCAATTTTTGGCTGCACACTGATTAATTGGAGTAATTTTATGAAGTTGTCTAGAATCATGTGTCAGAACCTCACATTCCACACCAATTAACAGAGGGTACAAGTATTTTCTGTACTGATCATTACTTTTGTGGGGGGAGGGGAAGGTCTCATATCCTTTTATCTTAAACCAATAGTAGAAAACTCTCATTTTGTTATCAGGACTATTCATTATGGAACCGCCTTGGAGCAACCTTGGCAAATGGGGATCGAAGTGAGGAAGCTGTGGAGGCGTATACTAGAGCTTTAGAAATTCAGCCAGGCTTCATTAGGTCCAGATACAATTTGGGAATAAGCTGCATCAACCTAGGAGCTTACAGGTGAGTTATGAAAAGAATATCAACATTTAAAGCCAAAAGTAAGGTGGCTTCTAAAAACTGAAAATTTATTTTTGAGCTAAAAGTCTATAACATGTATTCTAATCTTTGTTTAATTTAAGATATTGTTATACTCTTTGGATGAATGTAAAGCACTTTGGACTATAGGATAATATTCATTGTACAATATAATAAAACAATTGAAGAGTATGTTATAAAAAGTTAAGGCCCCAGTTCAGCAAGGTACTTAAGCACATGAGTAGTCCCAGTAGACTCAATGGGACTAATCATGTGCTTAAGTGCTTTGCTGAATCAGGGCCTACGATCCAAATATCTCATTTTGTCAGAACAAATTTTATAAGGCAACAGGAGGCAACAAAGACAGAGCACTGGGCTGGGAGTCAGGAGACCTTGGTTTCAGAGCTGATTTGGGGGGGAAGTTCCCAATGAATAATTTCAACAAAAATGAAAAAAATTGTTTTTCATCTAAATTTTTCTACTACTTTTTTGGAGTTTTTGTCAAAAAAAATGAAAGTTTGGGGGAAAAATGTTCTTCAGTTGCAGAAAGTAGAAAATATTAATCAAAAACTGACATTTCACTTGGAAATTTTCGTTCTAACAAGTAGCCATTTTCACTGGAAAAACTTTAATGGAAAAATTTTGACCATCTCTCCTGAGGTCATTTCTGGCTCTTCCACTGACCTTCTGTGTTTCCTTGGGCAAATCCCTTGATCTCTCAGACTCATTTTACCATTTAAAATGAGAACAATATTACTTACCTTCCTTTGCAGAACGTTTTGCAATCTATGGATGAAAAGCACTAAGTGTCAGTTGAGATTTTCAAAACAGTGCAAGTGATTTTATCTTCCATGAAACTTAAAATCAATAGAAATATTTCTGTAATTTAAAAAATCAAATGAAAACAGTTGATTTTAAAACATTAAATGTTTCTTTGCAACACTAATAATGCAGCACCGTGAATTTGAAAGTGAAAATGAAAACGAATATTGATTTGCATCGCCCAAACTGAACAAAATGTGAAGTAACAATTATTATAATTACTTCATTTTCGTCACTAATGAGGCATAACATGCTGTATCAAGCAGACAAACTGGGTGATTCCAATAGCTAGCAACACTGTTCCTCTACCCACAAAGATGAAATTAAAATAAACAAAGAAATGCAGATGCCCACTTGAAATAGTTCAATCTACATGTTAGTTTGAAGTCTTGTCTATACATGAAAATTAAACCAGATAAAGTAGGGGATTAACTATTCCTGATTAACTCCATATATGGACACTCTTATTCCAGAATAATAGTGCCTAATTCCAAAGTGGATTATCTAATTTGGAATAAGACTCTCTTATTCCAGAATAAGAGCATCCACACATGCAATTAATCAGGAATAATTATTCCAGAATAACTCCCCATCTAGACAAGCCCTTACTAGGGAAGGGGTGTCTTAACAGAACGGTACAGTACCTAATTTTCTGTAACACTTACACACTCAGTACAGACAGCTTTCAAAACAGTGATTTCGGGCCAGATCCTGGCGTATGTCAAAAGCAAAACTCATAGACAGGGCCGGCTCCAGGCACCAGCTTCTCAAGCAGGTGCTTGGGGCGGCTGCTCCGGAGAGGGGCGGCACGTCCAGGTATTCGGCGGACGGTCCCTCACTCCGCCTGGGAGTGAAGGACCTCCCGCCGAATTGCTGCCGCAGATCGCGATCGTGATCGCGATTGCGGCTTTTTTTGTTTTGTTTTTTGTTTTGGCTGCTTGGGGCGGCCAAAACCCTGGAGCCGGCCCTGCTCATAGTATATTGCCAAACCAAACCCAACCATTCAAAAATCATGAGTCAGATGCCAAGAAAAATCAGGAGATTAAAAAAAAAGATGTTGGGTTCTATTTGTTTGTCTTCTGGTTTTTGAACCTTTAGGACTACTATGTTCCTTTTTGTAATTATTTCAGGAGGCAGCCAAACAGTTTGGTTTATTTCCTGGAAATAAAGTCCCACATACCCATTTACCATTAAATGCATATTCCAGGCACTTGGTTTATTTGAAAGTGGGGATTTTGCCCTTTAGTGGCTTGGGTGGGGACCTGGAAGGGGCTGGGCTGATGCTTGCCATCAAAATGCCTAGCCAGTGAACAGGTGTGCCAGCAGCCTTGTTCGCTTCTATCTTAGGTTTTTATATGGCCCCATCAGTGCAGTCTCCAAGCACCTCACAGTCATTAAGTATTTATCCTCACAACACCCCTGTGAAATGGGGAAGTGCTATTATCCCATTTTACAGAAGGGCAACTGAGGTCCAGAGAGATTAAGTGACTCATCCAGAAAATCTGTGATGGAGCAGGGAATTGAACCTGTGTCTCCCAAGTCAGTACTCAAACGACTGGACCATCCATACACGCCTATCAGATCATAAAACAAGATGGTCTCTCTCCATAAATCCCTTTCCTGTAAGTCTATGGCTCAATATACATTTCATACACAGACCAGGTTCTCTGTGTGAATCAAGGGTAAAATCCAGGTCTGTGTAAAAAGAGTCCCAAGTGTCAACAATACAATTAAGATAACAAGGCACATGTATAATGGAATTCATAGCCACACTAAGGAGAATTTCCCCAGGCACTTGAGTAGGTTCATCTCTGCATCACTACACAAGTGCAGCCTTTTTGATACATAACAATGAAGTCTTGCAGCAACACTTTTGTCCGGAATTGTTAAAGGCAGATCAAGCAAGAATACTACAAAGAGATTGTGGTCTCCCATGTTGTCAGATAATGTGTTTGATTTTACTGTAATGCCTTAGAAGGAAGACAAAATATACTTTATTTTTTAAACAAAAGAGATTATGTTGTAATATGCGGATGTTGCCTTTCTTTCCTCCCCCACAGAGAGGCTGTCAGCAATTTTCTCACTGCTCTCAGTTTGCAAAGAAAAAGCAGGAATCAACAGCAGGTTCCCCAGCCGGAAATTTCAGGCAATATCTGGGCAGCTCTCAGAATCGCTCTGTCTATGATGGACCAGCCAGAACTATTTCAAGCCGCTAATTTGGGTGATCTGGATGTTCTGTTAAGAGCTTTTAACCTAGAGCCATAAAAAAACAAAAGCAGCCAAGTCACTAAGATGTATTAGGAAATACAAAACTCTTTCGTTACCAGTTTCAAAATGACCAAGGACACTTTCCAAAAGAGCGTGGGCCGTAGAACACTAGGGGAAGTTCTACCAGACATCACCCAATTCCTGGAAATCTTCAAAAGCACAAAACTTTGTAAATACTATTGAACTCAAATGAAGGATTAAAATGAACAGCAGCTAATCTGACAAAGACCTGACCTAGATGAAGCAGTCATACCCGAAGAACCTTCATCCCATGCAAGATATGCATATATATACACTCACACCTATACAGAGAAAATATATTTAAGACAAAACCTAATAATCATTGTTGCACATTAGAGTGGGAAGCAGCACATTGAAGGAACCTTATTGCCCAGTGCACTAAATTGACACCGCACGCCCCTACAATGTGGAGTCCCTATACTTTTGTTTGTTTGTTGGCCACTCTCTTCAAGGTCCTACTTCCACATAGCTCTGACAGGAGGTACATGTATGGTAGACATATTTTGTGATGAATAGATTCGCTGGCAATCAATAAGGGCTTTGTTTGTAAAGGTACCTTGATTCAATTTTATTTTTGGACCTAATTCACAGGCCCTCGGAGATGGAATTCAAGAGGAATTCTGCACATGGAGGATTTACAGGGTTGGGCTCTTTCTTTACTAGAAGGATGAGCTTTGTAAGCAGAAGCAGTAATTTGCACTAGAAATGTTGTTTGTACCAATTACGGCCCCAATCCTGCAAAGAGCAGGACTCTGCCTATGTGGAGGTCCTGGTAGGTTTCAGGCCTGTGTATGTGCATAAGCACTTTAATCTTTTTGTAAATGTATGCTATGCTTTTATTTATTTTTAAAGTAGGAACAAAAGATTTAAGGCGATATAAATATATATATAGCCATGTTGGCATAAAGGACCAAATATAACTTCTTGACACTAGATAGCTTTCCAAATCCTAGTGTTAAAAATGCAAATAGGGTATCAGTTATAATCTCAAGTGAATAGAATATTTATTATGCACGTGCCAGTAGTTTCACACACACACAAAAATACAGATTCACTGGAGGTAAATGTCATCTTAGAAAAAAAAATGAATCTCTTCCTTCAGCTTTCCGCAGGAACTAAAGAAGAACCCGTTTAGGAGCGGATGTCTACAGACCATACTCTGGGGGGAAACTTCCACTGAAGTGTAAAGATTTGCTTGAATAAGGACTGCAGGACAGGGGCTATAGAGGTTGATCCTGCTCTCACTGAAATCAATGGCAAAACTCTGATTGACCTCAATGGTTGCAGAATCAAGACCTTAGTTTTCATCAGCGTTTAAAGCTCCTACAATACAGCCTGAATCGACAAGGTTCCAAATGCTTCCTATGAAGTGCTGAGCACTTTCAAGTCCGACTTCAACATGAGTTTTTCAGCACATATTAGGGATTGGGTACAATGCACATGTATAGCACAGGGGGCATCCATCCATCCAAGACAGATTTATAGAGTTGTACTGAGTTAATTTTCAAGCATTGTGGGTTGGGTTTTTTTTTTTTAGTACTTTCTCTAAATAGTGAAAACCATTTTTACATTAAAAATATACTGTGTTGGTTTGTGTTCAGGAATGGACAGGACAGAGTAGCTATTGCAGGTGAAAGCAGGGAAAGTAACACATTCCCTATAAATGACATTTTAACCTCCCCTCCCCCCCGCCGCCCCCAAAGAGCTGTATCAAAAAAGCCACTGCACAGATTGTAGGGCAAGGGGGTCTATTTCACTAGTACAAATAAAAAGTTTCTTGCAGTTGTTTCTTATTTTGAGCAACCACTTAAAGGAAAACTCCTTGTTTAGCTATGCCAGAAGGAGGACATTGGATGTGGTTTAATCAGAGCACAATTTTATTCTTAAATGTCTGGGAATAGCCAGCAGATAAAAGTGTACAGTGCACATGATTCCATAATCATTTCAATATACACCTCTACCCCGATATAACGCGACCCAATATAACATGAATTCAGATATAACACGGTAAAGCAGCGCTCCAGGGGGGCGGGGCTGCACACGCCAGCGGATCAAAGCAAGTTCGATATAACGTGGTTTCACCTATAACACAGTAAGATTTTTTGGCTCCTGAGGACAGCATTATATTGGGGTAGAGGTGTATACCCCAGGGGGTTTCCATCAGCCCTGCCCCTTCCTGGTCCCCACCCAAGCTGCTGCTGGGACCTCACCATTCCCCCCACACACCTCGAATGAGGGTGGGGGGAGGCTATGGAGGAGAGGTCAGCTCCCTGATGTTTCAGTCATAGGATCCCCGAAACCCCCATCCTGTTTCTGCTCCTTTAAGGAATACCTCCTATAAATCCCTGACTAATCCATTTTATCTAATCACTGTATCCCTTGCCTATGGAGTACTTGCACTGGACATCTGCCCAATGTTTACACAATGAGTTGCAACACCATTCTCCTTTCATGTTTGCCCAGCTAAGCCCCCCCTGAACCTGCAATGGCAGTGGTCCACAAACTGTGGGGCGTGTCCCCTAGAGGGGCACAGAGGAACATCCGGGGGTGTGGCGGGGCCCTGGCCCTGGGGGGGAGGGAAGGAGCACTACCCAGCCCTGCTCTGCCCCCAGCTCCGCTTTGGCCCTGTTCCTGCTCCTGGCCGGGGGAGCGTGGCACATTCCATTACTGGTAAGTGGGGGGCAAGAGGAAAAGTTGGGGTACCACCTGCTATGGGAATGGTAAAAAAACCACTTCACCTTGGCCAATCTGGCAGTGAGGGGCAAGTTCCTTTGCAGACACCCCCCCGAGAAAGGCATGACTAGCGCAATACCCACAGTGGATCCTGACAAAACCCAGTATTTCACTACTTCCATGGGTGGGAGGGTAGGTGTTGCTCTGCTTGGTTCAGATAAAAGAGGGCTTTTCTTGCACTGGCATGGACCTATATAGTCCCCCACCGCTTTCAGTCACTGGGGGGAGAGGGAATAAGTTAGCTGACCTGGTCTGCGGCAGCAGCTGAAAATAACTCGCTGGCTTTCTAGTGCTTAAAGGGGCACACACCTTTTCCAACAAGCCAGACAACAGCCCCCACCCCTTCATGTGCAGTGAGATCATTATCCGATATTGTAATCACAAAGAGTAAGTCAGTAACTAAAAATCATCAGTTAAGAATTTATCATTAAAATAACAGCCCCACAGAGGTGCACCACAGAATGGAGAAATGCTGAAACAGTTGCAGGTATGTGTAAATAAATATGGGTATAATAACGGACAACTACAGTTTTCCTTTAAGCAGTGAATACCAAATACTGGCTGGGAAATCTTTTTTCATTTTAGCTGAAGCAAGCTTGCTAAATTCATATCAGCTGACAACAGTTTTCTCTTTTGCTTTGACAGTGATGTATGATGACAATTCTCAGCTCTCAATGAGGCAGAGCAGAGGGTGTCCTGCAATTGAAATCTGGAAAGGGTGTTTTTTTGGGTGGTAATAAAGGAAGGAGGCAGCTCTGGATAGAGTCAATAGAGCAAAGGCATAAAAGCTCAGATCTAGCTTTTTGCTCTCCCATCACACAAGTTCGTTCAGAACATCTCTGTACGGATAATTATATTACTACAAATCTGGCAAATCTAGCCCTGCTGAAGTTTTATTTTTATGCCGTCCAAAACAACAATTTAACTGCCTGAATTTTTGCAGATAAAATAACAAGGTTCGTTTTCAAGACTGACAGTAGTTCACAATACCTCTGGTTTTGGACCATCTATTAGTAGAGTGGCTACTTTATTACCTTGTTTTTAAATGTAGGGTTCTGGTTACACCCCATGATCACCACCACTGAACAAGGAGGAGGGGAAAGCAGATGTCTACTGATTTAACAGGGGAGACCTAGCTCAAATCTGTATTCCCCTGGTCATATACACATACAATTGACATTGAGAGTTGCATGCACAAAGCTAGAGAAACCAAACCTGCCTCCCATAGGCATGTAAGGATGCCAAATTAGCAGAAGCACTGCAGTTCTGCAGTACATGGGGGTTACAGGCTACTGAGTGACCAGCTAAGGGAACTGAATGGCCAACTGAGCTGCTCCTAAGAGGCTCAACCCTATGCTTGCTGTCCAGTTGTGTATGGCCAGTGGATGCCCAACTGCATAGATTCACTGTCCAAAACTGTGTAGCTGTTAGGGGGTAAGTTGAAGCAGGAATAAATGCTATAACAGCACATGGATTGTAGTCGTAGCCACAGAGCAGTAGAATTGGCGCTCCATGCCCTGCTAATAGAGTGTTTGGGGGAAGGGACACAAAGAATATTCAGGCTGTTTACTCAGATTTTGCATTTGGGCCTTAATACCACAGAACATGGTGAGTAGGGAAATAGAGGGGGAAACTGGAACGACCAGAAAACAAAGGGAAGCTCCACAGAAAACATATAAGAGATCAAATAAAGGAGTAAGAAAGGGAATGGGGAAAAAGATACACAGAAATATACACAGAGTTTAGGCAAATCACAGCCTCCTTGGGTCCTTCATTTACCCCCAGGTGTGAAAAGGGGGAAATAATTCTCATCCACCTTTGTGATATCACTAGATGAAAAGCACAAGGAGTGCAAAGTATTCCGTTATCTTGCTGCCTATTTGGTCTGTTGTGGGGCAGGTCAACAGTTGGGTCAATTGTGAGAAAGCTAAAAATAATTGTTGAGAGTGCAGTGAGCTCAGCTGCAACACAAAATAGCAATTTCACATTGTGACCGTTGCCTCTCTCAGCAGGATGGAGAAGTCACCTTAGGGACAGGGTCAAGAAACTGTCGTCTGACCCAAAATGGCAGTGCTGCTTTGGTTTTTCTTAATCCCACTTTCTGCTTTCCATTCTCATTACTCTCCTGTTGCTCCAGAAGAGATTCGTTACCTATCTAGGTAATTAATTTATTCTAAGGTTTGGAGTCTTTTCTATATAATATGTATTTCGTGCCATTTAAACCACATTCCCAGTTGCAGAGCCTTTAGGGCAGTGGTTCTCAACCAGAGTCTGGGATGCACTGGGGGCCCGCAAGCAGGTTTCAGGGGGTCTGCCAAGCAGGGCTGGCATTAGACCTGCTGGGGCCCAGGGCAGAAATCCGAAGCCCCCACCACCTGGGGTTGAAGCTGAAGCCTGAGCAACTTAGCTTTGTGGGGCTCCCTGTGGCATGGGGCACCGGGCAATTGCCCAACTTCCTACCCCTTAATACCTGTCCTGGCTTTTATGTGCAAAAAAACAGTTGTTCTGGCACAGGTGGCCATGGAACTTTTATAGCATGTTGGGGGTCCTCGGAAAGAAAAAGGTTGAGAACCGCTGCTTTAGGGTAATGGTGATCTTACCACAGATCTGCTCTGACAAGATGCTGAACACCCTCAAATCCTGTTGTCTTCAATGGGAGTCAAGGGTGCTCAGTATTTTGCAGGATCAGATCCAGTGCATGTATTCAGGTACTGATCCAAGGCTGGATTGTCATACCCTTGATCAGCCTATGTTACACCATGAGTAGCCCCACTGGAGTCAATGGGAATATTGTGGAGTACAATTACTCAGTGAGAGTAAGGGGCTCCTTTCTTGTTATGTCTATACATTGCAATGACTCCAACACACTTTGAACAGGGTCTCTTGTGTACTTAAGTTGATGTGCAGTTATCTTCAGTGGATGCCCTTTCTCAGGAGAAAAGCAAACCTAGTATTTTATGATGTAAAAAGTTATTAATACTTGTTTTTGAACCAACCCCATTTTTTCCTGTTTCTTTTATCCTTTCTCCCAGTCAAGAAACTATTTTTATGTCCAATTAAAATTAAATTGAGGTTTCAAACAAATCTCTCTCTCTCTCTCTTAATTAATAGTGTTTTCTTAAGATGGGCTTAGATACAAGGTTTGTAAAAATGTGAATTTTCTTTTCTTTTAAAGAAATACATAGCCTCAGGTACAAAAATATTGCATGGAACAGTATTCACATATGAACATACCAACATATTAACCCAAAGCATGCAAGATACATAATTTGAATGTAAATTTACAGACTGCATGACTAAAGCTCAAACATGGGTGGTTTTTAACTATTAATTTCTG